ATCTTTGTAAAGATAGAGAAGAACCACTGTTACTGTTATCCTACTCGATTTACAGAGTACTCTTCCACTTCTACTCAAACACGTAAGCTTGGGTAAAATATTTTCTTTAGAAGTCAATTTAGGCCTATTTGAATCTTAGTTAATAATCTAAGACTCTGCTAATCTTGGCCTATTTTTATGTTTCTTCCCAGTTAAATCCTTAAGGTCATATACCCTATTATCCTGTGCCCACACTGGGTTTCCCAAGGCCAATGAGAAAGCTGTTATCAAAAGAAGGAAGAATGGATGCAGGGGGGCAAAAACAACAACATTCTCCCCAATTCTCCTTGTGCAGGAAAACCACCTTCCCTCTACCCTCTTCCCACCTTCCCTCTCCCCTCTTCTCACCTTCCCTCTCCCCCAAACAATCTTCCCCATTCCCGGAGCACTGCAGCAGCCTGATCACTGGGACTCTGAAAACAAAGTTATAAATAATATACAACTCTCCTGGGGATCTTGTCATTTAAATGAAGAGTTTAATATTCCCAAAAAAATTCTTATGAAGGAAAAATTTTTTTTTTGGTTAGGATTTTGTTTAGTTTTGTTTATATGTATGTTTGTTTTGTGACTTTTAAAATTATTTTATTGTTATTTTATGTTATTACTAGAGGCCCAGTGCACAAATTCATGCACAGGAGGGGGGGAGGTTTCCCTCAGCCCTGCCTGCACCCTCTCCAATCCAGGACTCCTCAGGGGATGTCCGACTACCGGCAATCCGGGACCACTTGCAATCCGGGACCACTAGTCCTAACCACTCACCTGCCTGCCTGCCTGATCGCCCCTAACTGCTCTCTTCTAACGGCCTGATCGCCTCCTAACTGCTCTCCCCTGATGGCCTGATCGCCCCTAACCACCTCTGCCTCAGCCCCCGCCAACATGGCTCTGTCCAGAAGGATGTCTGGAAGATGTCTAGTCTAATTAGCATATTACCCTTTTTTTAGTATAGATTTTATTTTATAGTGCCCTTTTCTGTGCTGGTTGGCTTCTCAAAGCACCATTTCAAATTACCACCCCTTCTAGGGAGGAAAAGGCATTCAATTAACCTTCAGCTGCACCCATCTACCTTTCTTCCTACTTTGGTATAGGATGTGGCATCAACCAAGGTTTCTAAAAAAACAAAGAACTTCTGATAGGGTGCAGCCAGTCAGGCCCATTTGAAGTTCCATAGGAGGATTCTGTGTGGCCTGGGCTTCTAAGGCCTGCACAGGTGACATGGGTCTGTTCCTGGTTCATATGTCAGCACATGGCAGGGAAGCCATTTCTTGTCTAGGCCAGATACTGGCATGTGTGAGTCTGCACGATGAAGCACATGGCAAGTAAAGCAGAAATCAGGGAAGGTAGCAAGGGACACTCTAGGCAACCAGGGAGGACTATCCCACAAGCTCAGCTGTTCTTAGAAATGCAGACTATCTGTCCCACCGGGAACTGTAGAGAAGCTGGACTGTCTCCAGGGCACACCTGACCTGAAAGAGCATTGTATCTCAGAATTCCAAGCCATCTGTTGGCATCTCTAAATCTATGTACGTGGTTTACTAAGACCCAGAAGTCAGAGGTGGGCAAGGAGGCTTGGGAATATGACCCTCCAATACTAATTACATTTCTGCCTCCTTCACTAACCACACTCACTTTCACACCTTAACTGCAAAAGAAAACTGACACCGTTGGTTTGCTAGTGTAGTTCTAGTTCAGTGTGGTTTGCTAACAAATGCAAACCACCTGTTTCTAGTTAGTCCACTTCCTCAACTCGTCTATTCAAGTCTAGACGGCTATGTTTCTTCGTTCGCAATGTTTTATGGTGGTTCTGCTAATTTCTGAATCACTGCTTCAGACTGCTCAGAGATGTATCCTAACCAGTTATATCATTGAAACAAACACCTTCACCAATCTTTTCTCCCCCATTCAGGGCACACACATGCTTCAACAGATTGGATCTTCCACCTTATCCCTCATACTCCATGTTGTATGAAAAGCTGTTAACAGCAGTAGAAGAAACTAGCACTTTTGGACTTGAATAAAGAAATGGAATCTCGCCTGACATTTTCCTGGACAGTGACACCACCCTTTCCGGAAAAATCCCCCTTTCCTTTTCCCTTTCCTTGAATCAACTCTTCTTTGATGTTGGTACTTCATGATTTTTATTTTCAAACCAAATCAGAATGGACAAAAGCTGTGCATGAAGAACTGCCTTCTTCTAAGATATAACCTTCAGGCTTATCTCCTCTATTTTCAATGAACTGCTAGCCTGTATGCAATATTAAAAAACAGCTGTCTCAAGATCTGTGTATATCTCCACATACCTCCATTACTAACAATGAAATATGAATGCTAGTTATGCTACACTTGACCAAATAGTAATAAATGTTTACTTCCATTTATATAATTTAAGGGAAAATTGTAAGCATTAAGCATTCCAAGCTTTTATATGCCCATGTCTTCTGAGCAGAGCCACCTTTTTTTTAATATATAATTTCTAACAACCAACTCTAAAACTAGGAGTTGATCAACTCTTTCTTTCCCTCCGCTCTACTTTTCCCTGTGCATATATCCATGCAAAAGCAGCAGTAGAAAACCCAAAATTTTTTATTACATTCAACTCATAATTTATATGTGGCATCAGTCCCATCAGCTGGAACTAGCCTAAACATATGGTGCAAATATGACACTTTCCAACAAATAATAACAGCGAGATAAACACCTTTCCTGATGCAACACAATGCATCCCAATGGTTGTGGGGATTGTGGCTTCTAAGCGGGACACACCCTTCAGGAACAGTCACCACACAAGAAGCACAAACTCGTGCACATGTCCAAGAAGGATATCTCATTATGTAGTTAATATAAATGACAAGGCTTCCGCCCCCATTGTGTTATATACAATGTGATGAAGCAAACAGGAAAAAGCGAAGGGGGACATAGTAGGTTGGTTTAAATACCTGAGTGCTGTACTGTTTTGTTCTGTTTCGCTACAGTTCTCCCACACAAACGGGAAAAAAATGCATAGATAATCTCATGACTTCTGTTAAAGCCAGGTAATTAGTTGTACGGCAAACAAATTTTTCTTTTAACTTGAATATTGATTTTTCATGCTGTTTTCTTAATTATGGCATTCAAATTCCTTCACATCTGATTGTCCACAGGGACCACACTAAATAAGAAGCTGCAGATAGCGATGGTGCTTGTTAGGGGTCAAGGGCAGTATAGTGCTTTTTCATTCATAGCAATCCTCCCAGAGCAGAGCCCTAACACCTCAAAGGCATGTTGATTTGTGTCAAAATAGATATTAGTTTCTTTTAGCATTCAGTAAAGAGATAACACAGAAAACTTAGTGCAGGGGTCCTCAAACTTTTTAAACAGGGGGCCAGTTCACTGTCCCTCAGACCGTTGGAGGGCCGGACTATAGTTTAAAAAAAAACAAATTCCTATGCACACTGCACATATCTTATTTTGAAGTAAAAAAACAAAACGGGAACAAATACAATATTTGTATTTGCATGTGGCCCGCGGGCCATAGTTTGAGGACCCCTGACTGCATTTTTGTTTTATTAATACAGGAAACGAAGAAAAACTGGTGAGAAACATAAGACAAAGTTAATTTCCTATGAAGCCAAGCCTTGTTCTCATTACATTAGTCTGTGTTTGGACATGCATTGTGTTCCCTGCACTCCAATATGAAACATTCTTTTAGTGGGGATTATTTACCATGCCCAGCACCCCCTGCTGCAGTGTACTTTTTGTCAATCAGGGAATATATATGTTATAGAAATTTAGCTTTCAGTTGTTGTCTAGAAACAAGATTTCCCAAGATAGAATTGAATGTGTAAGTTACATAATATGGAATTTGGGAACCTATAAAATTTAGTATACATTTCAATATCTGAAAAATTGTCAATTCCAATGGAGCTATTATTTATTTATGAAATCAGAACATAAGGATTATGCTGATCATTTCACAATTCTAATGCTTTAATACGTACCAGGATAAAACTACTGCTGCCGTTCTCTTTTAATACATAACCATATGTCCTTTAACAATAAGTTATTTTGTGCAAGCCAATGAGCTGGACCTTCTAGTGTAGGAGGCATCTATTATTTTTAGAACTTGGTGTTACATGTATGTAAATACTCATTAATTCAAGCAATCAATTCTCTTTTTAGTACTTATATTATTTGTTAGGCATTGGCAAGAGAGAAAGCTGTTAAAAATGGAACCTGTTTTATAATTTGTACAAATATCTAATTAATCTATTGATTAGATTAATTAATATCTATTCCACCCATATGCAGAAGGAAAAAGATATTCTAGAAATTATATATAGATAGATAACTTCATCATAAATGGGTTTTTTTTACCTACCCCTGCCCCCAATGCCATGACTCTAGATCAGCCGTGGGCAAACTACGGCCCGCGGGCCGCATCCGGCCCGTTTGAAATGAATAAAACTAAAAAAAAAAAAAGACCGTGCCCTTTTATGTAATGATGTTTACTTTGAATTTATATTAGTTCACACAAACACTCCATCCATGCTTTTGTTCCGGCCCTCCGGTCCAGTTTAAGAACCCATTGTGGCCCTCGAGTCAAAAAGTTTGCCCACCCCTGCTCTAGATGTATCTCAAAAAGCATTACAGGAACAGTGTTTCATAAAAGTATAAAGTCTCAAAAAACCCTGTTGTCAAAGTCAGCTGAAAGAATGCATAGCTTGCTTAACAGGGTCCCAGATTCCATTAAAGCCTTTGATAGACTCCTTAAGGAAGAAAAACAAAGAGAAAAGGAATACAGATAATTGTTACAGAAAGATCCTTTTTATTTTTTTTCTATGTTCTGAAAGATGTTTTCTTAGTTAATATTTCCTCATACATGAGGCTGATTTTTAAATTATGTATAATTCTTCATTATATATAATAAAACAGCTATAGGACTAAATTATGCTATTAATTTCACAGATGGAGATGTAAACCACCCAAGTTATATAATTTAATGGGCAAGGCAGATCTATTTGTTACCACTTGTATTTTTTCTTCATTTAAAGTATGAGTTTTCTCTATGACATATTATAAAACTAATCACTTATAAACAGCATTTTCTCTAAAACAAGATCTTTTAGAGCTAGTTTTAGTAAAGCATATTACCTTTAATTGAGGGATAAACAAGAACAATACAAAAGAGAAAAACATGTTACAATTGGAAAAAATGCTTTTGAAATGCTATAAAGTATTATTAATTTCATGGATATCACATTTTATTCTGTCATATGAAGACAATAATCTTAAAAATAGAAAATTGACTCTGTAGGATCAGAAGTATTCTAAATATCCTGAGTTCTTTGTAACTTCTTGCATATATAAGTTGAGAAAAAATTTTAACCATCACTATTGTAGCACAATTTTTTGAATGGCAATGCAAAATTAAGAAAGATATATATTTTTGGCAGGCTTTAAATATGACAAAAGTCTAAATGTGTTCTCCTTTAACATATGTCCGTCCCTATGTCCTTTCACAGTAAGTGTATTTTTGTGCAAGTCAATGAACTGGACTTTCCAGGACATTTAAATATTACATTGATGACATTGTCAGTCCATGTGTCAAACCATGTGTCCAAATTTTGGGTTCAGGAAATTTCTCAGTTGCCACAAATTTTTTCAAAGTCAAGATGAAACACTTTCAAATGAAACTAGTTAGACTTTCACATAACAAATGTGGTGCTTTATTATTTTTATTATGATTATTATTATTTATTTTTGTGTTCACTAAAACTATTGCTTCCATTCTATAACATAAAAATTTAGGATAGGTGTTCCAGCCCTCATAAGATCAAAAGAGAAAGTGTTATTTTCCTATTAGTGACATAGAGTTCCTTTGTTCCAATAGAAAAAAATAGATGCCAACAGGTAGACTATAGAGTAAATGTCAGTCCATCAGCCTACTTCCTGCAGCTTCTGAATTATCTAAGGAAATACCTATAACAATTTTGCTAAAAGTCTTTGTTCTAGTCAATAGCAGGAGAAGTCCACATTATTGGGCTGATTTTGCTTCCATTGACAAGAGAAATGTCACGTGATACTCAGGCCAAGCTTTCTCTTCCCTCATATCACCTTCAAGGAATGTCAATAAACTCACTTTGGTATGGCATTGTCTGTGTTCCTTATTGCAAATGGAAGTCTAGGTAATGCATAACTATTTGTATTATGCCTGTTCTCTTGTTGGAGATAAGCAACAGAACACCACAGAAGTCCACCAGCTGGTATTATAAACAATCCATGGAAAAATTATTTATCAAGAAAACATAATATGTGCTCACAAATCCTTGAATAAAGGAACAGCTTTCATAACAAATTCCTTCTGTATGCCTATCAGAACTGCACATAAACCACATGGCTTCATTTTATGTGTTTCCTTTATGTTGAGCCAGGCATACATGGGCTTTTTGAATTCATACCTGTTGAGATGTTTTTACAAAGGCTTCAGGACACAGACTCTTGGACAAGGGTTAGCAGTAGGCAAAAATGCTATGTCCAATGTCATATATGATAACTTCCAATATCACAATGATATTACCTCTTTCCAAGCCTTGAAAAGACAAACTGAGTGGCTTTCATGGTGGTCAAAAGCTGAGTTAGTTTGGTGGGAAAAAACATGTTACTAGAAAAAAAAAGTGTGGGTAGGATTGAGAAAAGGAAAAACCTACACTACTGGGTTTACTTTAGACTCATTATAACTGAAAATAGCTCTTCTCTTACCCTGGCCAGATGGCTCAGCTGGTGGAGCCTCATCCCCTATACCAGAAAGTGGTGGGTTCAATTCCTGGTCCCAACACATACCTAGGTTGTGGGTTTGATCCCCAGTTGGAACGCATATGAGAGGCAACTGATCAATGTTTTTCTCTCAAATCAGTGTTTCTCTTTCTCTCTCTCTCTCTCCATCCCTGCCTCTCTCTCTAAAAATCAATAAAAAGATATCCTTGGGTGATGATTTAAAAAAGAAAAGAACTCTTCTTTTGGAGTACAAGGAAAAAAATTAGCCTAACCCATCATTTGCAGAAAGGAATAGATGATATTACTTTGTGTTTTAATTTAAGCATTATTCTGAAATCAAGATTAGATTTCAGGTCTTCTGATATATATGGCCACACTTTTCCAATACACTGTGCTAACAACTCATTAATTATATGCTGTTAAAAATGATCCATTACTTATATGCATATATGCATAACCCATGGACACAGACAATAGTGAGGTGAAAACCTGGGGGTGGAGAGAAGATGGGGCGAAGGGGGTCAATGGGGAAAAATGGGGATATATGCAATACTTTCAACAATAAAGATACTTTTTTTTTTAATGACAGATAGAGCCTGGCTGGCATGGCTCTGCAGCGGAGTGTCGACCTATGAACCAGGAGGTCACAGTTCTATTCCAGGTCAGGGCACACGTCCAGGTTGTGGGTTTGATCCCCAGTGTAGGGCATGCATGAGGCAGCCAATCAATGATTCTCTTTCATCATTGATGTTTCTACCTCTCTCTCCCTCTCCCTTCCTCTCTGAAATCAATAAAAAATATATATTCTTTTAAATGACAGATAGAGCTTATATTCAAGATGTGGTATAATATATTTTGTAAAAAGTTGGTTTAATAAAAAAATAAATGAAGAGAGTTATAGAAGGTCAGGCTAACCCTTTATCAGTGCTGCAGGAAATTATCACATTTATAGCTAGAAAAGAGACACCTTAGTTACTTTTTGTATGACTAGTTTATTCCCGGATATGAGGAATCTGAGGCCAGGAAAGGTGATTTGCTCAAAGCCACTAAGCTTTATCTTGGGTGCCAAAGGTATGCCCTCTCACAGAATATCCTTTGAGGTCCTGGGCTCTTGGACTGGGCATAACCATTAGGAAGTTTTCCAGGAGGGTAGAAGAAATGGAGGTCGAGATGGACCTGGCATATCGCAAGAAATGTCATGAATCCACAGCCAATGTGTACTCATCAGAGAAAGATGTGGACTGCTTACTACTCTCGCCCCTCTTTATGCGTTTTCTGGGTCCTTTGTAGAAAAGGACTGCAAACTGGGTGGCTCAAAGAAGGCTAGAAGAACAAGATCAAGATGATGGTACAGCCCTAACCGATTTGGCTCAGTGGATAGAGCGTCGGCCTGCGGACTAAAGGGTCCCAGGTTCGATTCTGGTCAAGGGCATGTACCTTGGTTGTGAGCACATCCCCAGTGGAAGGTGTGCAGGAGGCAGCTGATCGATGTTTCTCTCTCATCGATGTTTCTAGCTCTCTATCCCTCTCCCTTCCTCTCTGTAAAAAATCAATAAAATATATATATTTTTTAAAAAGATGATGGTTCCTTCCGAGGGCGGTGAGAGATAATTTGTTCTAATCCTCTCTCCTACCTTCTAATCTTTGGTATTCCTTTACTTTCTTTTTATTTTTTTCCACCACCATTTATCTCCTATATGCCCTCTTCCACCTCCACCCACCACTCTCACCCCCGACAATCACCATACTGTTGTCCATGTCCATGAGTTCTATTTTTTTTCTTTTTTGCTCAATCCCTCCACTCCTCACAACACACCAGAGCTGTCTGCCTGCTCTCTATGAGTCTGTTTCTATTTTGCTTGGTGGTTCAGTTTGTTCATTAAATTCCATGTATGAGTGAAATCATATGGTACTTGTCTTCTCTGACTGGCTTATTTCACTGAGCATACTGTTCTCCGGGTTCAACCATGCTGTTGCAGAGGGTACGATTTTCTTCCTTTTTACCACAGAGTAGTATTCCATTGTGTAAATGTGCCACAGCTCTTTTATTCACTCATCTATTGATGAACTCTTGGGCTGCTTCCAAATCTTGGCTGTTGTAAATAATGCTGCAGTGAACTTAAGGGCACACACAATCTTTTGAATTAGTGTTTTGGGTTTCTTTGGATAAATTCCCAGAAGTGGAAAAGTTGGGTCATAAGGCAGTTCCATTTTTAATTTTTTGAGATAACTCCATACTGCCAACCTGAGGCATCTCCTGCCTCTGTGAGGAGCCAGGCTCTTCCTCAAGTCAGAAAACCAGGAATCAGGAAGACATAAGTTCATAATATCATTCATCTTTATTATTTCACTCAGCGGAGTATATTTACATACACGGATTCCAGAATTTGTCATAAGAGTTATGCAGGATACAAAATTATTAATGGTGACAGTCCATGCTCTTATAAATGGGTCAGTCTTGAAGGTAAGCTGATACTTTCAAAAAAGAAAAATAAAACAAAGGCGGGTGATATAGATCCTGTCCCCAAAGTATCTCTAAAGTGGTTAATATTGAAAACATCTGGCCCTACATCTACTGAAAGAAGATTCTCTAGTTCTTGCCTCACACAGCACCTCCATCAGGCAGCTCTCAATTTTAACTGCTCACCTGTGAGTAGAACATCACCAGTTTGGAACCCAGTGGCAACCTGAAGTGCGGAGACTGCATGAGAATGAAGCTGGACCGTGGACACGGCGCTTGCCTCAGACGGCCTGCCCCCGGACATGAGACACCATAAACCCCTAATGTGTTTACACCATAATTATGTGAGTTCTCTGGTTATAGCCTAATTCCTAACCCTCAAGATAAAGAAGGGAGAAAAGTGCAAAAGAGTTTTCCATAACCTTTTCTAGAGGAAGTCTAGAATTATACTTAAAATTTAAAAATTTTGCAAAGTTGTCTAATCTTGGCAATTTTACTGATTTTTGTTCTAGTCTTCACTGTGATGATTTAACAATAGTCACTTGAAACCTCACGGTCTTGTTCATTTCCTCGGGGACAACAAAGAAGGGGTGACTGGGTCCCTTTGCATTCAGACTAGAAACGGAGAGGGCACAAAGGAATAGCCACCACACTAGGGAAGGACAGCTCAGCGGCCAGCGGGCCTGGCAGGCACGGGGCGGCCCACAGGAGTCCGGCTGCACCTCCCTGCCACGCCCAGGACTTGCCGGACCTCGCCTCGCTCTCATGTATCCGGACGCCCTGATTCTTGTGTAACAATATGTATTCTGGCCACAGGCTGGCCTCCGCCTTGGTCCTGACTCCGATCTACCCGCGAAGGTAAGGTAATTCTTGTGACTTGATTCTGACCCGTTTTCCCTACCTTATTTTTTCTTGCTCCTTTGTAATCTACTACCTACCCAACCTGAAAATTTATTGACCTCAAAGAGCCGAAGCATCACAAGGTGAGAGGCCTTGATTTCTCAAGCCCTTAAAAGTCATGAACCCACTTCCCATCCACCAGTCTTCCTATACCCCCAACCTGAGTGCGTCTCTAACTTAAAGAGAACCCAGGCACTTCAGCCACCTATTAAAAGAAACTTTTTACTTACTTTAGGAATACTTTTCTGGAATATTGCTTTTTACGTTTACGTATCAGCTCATTGGCCATTTTCAAAAGGTCTGTTACCTGGTCTTCCATCGCTTGGCCGGTTTCTTTGTTATTAAAAGCACAAACTCGCCCCCCACACTTTTTAATGGTCTCCTTAAGAAATGTGTTATCTGTGTTCTTGCAGTAATCTCTAATGTCCTCGCCCCCCAAGTCTTCCTTCCGGGTGAAAAGCACAATCATGGATTCCATAACATCCTTTCCGAAGATGGTCCTCAGTGTCCCCACCACCTCTTTGTCCTGGGCCGTGAACCGTCCCAGCTGGAGCACCAGGACCAGAACCGTGTTCATTTTACAGCTAAATACATTGCGTCGGAGCTTCTCTCGGTGGGCTGGCTGGCTGGACAGCAGGCAGAGGTCAGGAGTGTCCACCACCACGACATCCTGCTCCACCCCCATCCTCTTGCCCGTCTGGCACTCCATGGTGACCGGCTGGGCCCGGAGCTGAGATAAGAAGATGGACCTCCCAAGGATGGAGTTCCCGGTGGCACTCTTCCCAGTCCCGCTCCGCCCCACGAGGACAATGTGCAGGGCCTCTGTGGGAGGAAAGCAGGACAGAGTCATGACCCAGGCTGACCTGGGTGTGCCCTTCAAAGCGATGCCACACATTGCAGCCCAGGACACTCAGGGGGCGTCAGGGCTGCTTTCCCAGAGCAGCTCCAGCCCTGAGCGCGGGATGGCGTCCTCCAGGCACACATTGAACTCCGAAGCAGGACCTAGGCCACAGTCCCTGCCCGGCGCTCACCCAGGGACATGCTACTGTTCCTATCTCTCAATCTGCTCCTTTTTCGGGTAACTTCTCTGACTCCCTGGCACCTGTGAGTGCTTTGTTACTCTTCACCTACTCACCTGGGTCCAGTCTACTCCTCTCATCTCTGTCTTCTGTTCCTGCTGTGACTATGTCTTCCCACTGCCAACTAATGCCAACCATAGCAAAATCTCCTGGGTGTATTTGTAAAATTATTCCATAGAATTACTTTTTGTGAGAAAGCAACTACACGTACCATCTGTGGATTACCAGATGCAGCACTTCTCATTACAACCACATTTAGTTTAACTGTGTCTTTCATTGATGTCAAAAGGCATCTCGTGGTTATAATAACCTTTTCCCCAAGTTATGAATATCCACCTCAAAACAAGGAGAAAGGAAGCCCACCCCGACAAGGGGAAATTATTGAATTGCTTATTCCGAAGCCACAATCTTATGCTTACAGGATGAATAAAGTCTCCCAACAACCCCATATCTGTCACGTATTTCAATCCTGCTTCCATACCTCAGGGGTGTGGTTCTCAAGGGCCTCTGTAAGCTCCCAATCCCACTTTATCTAGAGGTGTGACTCCTCCATATCCATCAAAACCACTTCCTGATGTTCCCTCACATGTGACATGCTTAGTCCTACCTCTTCATTTCAAATTGCTAGTGTACTCTCTGGAATGTCTTCCAAGTTTCTGCTTAGCCATCCAAACTCAACCCATTCTCCAAAGCCCATTTCAAATTGGGTTTCCTCCTGACATTCCCACATGTCTGTATCATATATATATATATATCTATATCTATATATATATATATATATATATATATATATATATAGATATATATATAGATATATATAGATATATATATATATAATACAAATATGCTAATTAACCGTACCTTCAGTATGCCCTAAGCCATGCCCACCAGCCAATCAGAGCGACTATATGCAAATTAACCCAATCAAGATGGCGGCCGGCAGCCACGGAGCTGAAGCAAACAGGAGGCTTGGTTGCCTGGGCGATGGAGGAAGCCAAGCTTCCCACCTGCCTTGAGCCCGCTGTGGCCTCTGATCATGGCAACAAAGTTTCAATTATAGAAGACAAATAAATCCCAGATACCTGCTTCCAGCCAGCCTCCACTGGGAGCTTGGGTGGCTGGAGGTTGTGGCCAGCCTGCAAACAGCCATCAGCCCCTCACCCAGGCTGGCCACACCCTCATGGGGTGAGGGTCCCCACTGAGGGGCTTAGCCAGCCTGAAAATGGCCCTCAGCCCCTCACCCAGACTGGCCAGGCACCCCAGCAGGACCCCCCACCATGAAGGGGCTGTGGCCAGCCTGAAAATAGCCATCAGCCCCTCACCCAGGCTGGCCAGGCACTCCTATATAATAAAAGGGTAATATGCAAATTGACCCTAACAGCAGAACGACTGGGAATGACTGGTCACTATGACACACACTGACCACCAGGGGGCAGATGCTCAAAGCAGGAGCTGTCCCCTGGTGGTCAGTGCACTCCCACAGGGGGAGCTCTGCTCAGCCACAAGCCAGGCTGATGGCTGCCAGTACAGCGGTGGTGATGGGAGCCTCTCCCGCCTCCTCAGCAGCGCTAAGGATGTCCGACTGCAGCTTAGGCCTGCTCCCCACTGGCACGTGGACATCCCCCGAGGACTCCCGGGCTGCCAGAGGGATGTCGGGCTGCCAGAGGGATATCTGACTGCCAGCTTAGGCCCAATCCCCCAGGGAGCGGGCCTAAGCCAGCAGGTGGTCATCCCCCGAGGGGCCCCAGACTGCAAGAGGGTACAGGCAGGGCTGAGGGACCCCCCCCCCCCCCAGTACACAAATTTTTGTGCACCGGGCCTCTAATATATATATATATATATATATATATATATATATATATATATGATTGATTTCAGAGAGGAAGGAAGAGAGAGAGAGAGAAACATCAATGATGAGAGCAAATCACTGATCAGCTGCCTTCTGCATGCCCCCTATTGGGGATTGAGCCCACAACCCGGGCATGTGCCCTTGACCGGAATTGAACCTGGGACCCTTCAGTCCTCAGACCGGTGCTCTATTCACTGAGCCAAACCAGCTATGGCTGTACTTCCTTAGGAAGCTCCCCAACACCTGGCCCTCCATGAGGAATAGGAAATGGCTCAATGAACAGATATGCTCCTTTAGGCCTGATGTTCTTCCCAGGTGAGCACATTTGAAGCACAAGAGAATGGGATGAGTCATGCTGGGCTGGAAGGATCTCAGCTCAGGTCAATAGAATGCATAGCACTTAGTGTACGGGAACTTCTGTTTCAGCAGTAGATAGGGTTGTGTGGCTAGGCTAATAAATAAATCCCATCTATAGCCATTCGGGGCCCACCCATCATGAGCATTCAGGCTCCCAGTTCTTGTTCCATCAAAATGGCCTCCCCTCTCCAATAGAGAGAAGAGTAAAGAAGCAAGAGAATAAACAAAGTCAAGAAAGAGAGCGGGAGAGCCCAGCTGGTGTGGCTCTGGTTGAGTATCAACCCATGAACCAGGAGATCACAGTTCTATTCCCAATCGAGGCACATGCCTGGATTGAAGGCTCAATCCCCAGTAGGGGGCATGCAGGAGGCAGTCAATCGATGGCTCTCTCTCACCATTGATGTTTCTATCTCTCTCTCCCTTTTCCTTCTTCTCTCTGAAATTAAAAAAAAAAATTTTAAAGGGAGAGAGAGTTGAACTTAAGACAAAGAAAGAGAAAGTAAACCAATGGTCAAGAGCTATCTCATCACCAACAATGAGTGCTGAGGCCTGGGCAAAAGAGGTTGAAAACTGTACCCAACACAAGATGCTGGAAAAGGTCAACTCCTTCCTTCACGGCCCTCACCATCCAGTTGGAGAGATGAGGCATGGCTCATGAAAGAATTAAAGACCAGGTCAGCAGAGTATGCAAGGAAAGACAAATAAGTTTAGTTAAATTGGAGAAATGAGAAAGAGAAGAGTTAGTCGATAGAGTGGACCTGTCCTTTTTATCTTCTCTATGCCCTTCAGAAAACAAAAAGTTCCTGTATAGCCTATATCTGCTTTTTTAAAGCATATATTAAATGTTTTCTTACCTTCCTTTTTGAAGTTGCAAGACTTGTCTCCATTCTGCTGCACCATTTTCACAATTTTTTGCAGGAGCTCATCCACCTGGCATTGTTCCTCTTTTTCTGTCGCTCTGTAGTTGGAGATGCTGTATCGGTTTTCACATTTCTTGACAAGCTCACAGAGGGCTCCATTGCTGGTTAAAAACGTGTCTACGTTCTGATCCTCTAGATCTTCTTTCCTTGTGAGGAGCACAATCATATACTTAGTTAATTCGTCTTCAAAACTTTCTTGGATGGTGCTCAGCATCTCTGCATATTCAGTGAAGGAGCCCAGTGGGGTCACCAGCAGGAAGGCATGGGGCCCCCAAGGGGCATGTTTCCGAAGGTCTGATTTAAAGTCCTTTAAATCAGATAGTAAGTCTGGGCCATCAATGATCAAAATTTTCCACCCTCTCCAGATTCTGCTCTCAGACTTAAACTTCTTGGTTACTGAGTGGTCACTGAATTTGGTCTCAAAGACTCGCTTCCCCAGAAGGCTGTTTCCGGCTGTGCTTTTCCCAACGCCACGCTTCCCCAGGAGCAGGACCTTTAGTTCTGACATCCCAGGGTTCGGCTCAGATCCTGTGGCCTGCAGCTGCTCCCCTAGAGGACAAAAGGACACATTCCAAGTCTCTTTTTATAGTTGGACACAAAGATGGAGACAAGTTTGATCGATTCTCTTCCTTGTCAGTTTTTATAGAAAATGGCATCAGTGCTCTGACCCAATAGAACTCTAGTCCTGGCCAGAAGCTACCCATCAAAGTAAAAGCCACGAAAGGGACCATGAACAAATTAAGAGGTATGTCAAGGGCTTGAGATTGCCCAGGAACATGATAATGTTAAACTTGGCTTTCACTGGTCTTGGTCCTTAGCATTCCTCTCATTTTGCTACCAAAGGTAAGTACTGGGACATGAAGTCCATGGGCTAAGGCAGGACCAGGAAGAATCTAGGTTTAAAATAACCATGAGTGGCCCTGGCCAGTGTGGCTCCGTTGGTTGGGTGTCATCACGTGCACCAGGGGGTTGCTCACTCAATTCTAGGTCAAGGGCACATGCCCAGATTGCAGGCTCAATCCCCAGTAAGGGGCTTGCAGGAGGCAGCCAATGGATGCATTGCTCTCACATCGATGTTTCTCTCTCTCCCCCTTCCTCTCCCTCTAAAAATCAGTAAACTATTCTTTAAAATAATAATAACAATAAAATAACTCTGAGTGGTATATTCATAAAATAGAATACAACTCAGCAATTAAAAAAAAAAGAAAAGAAACGAATGAACTACTGATATGCAACATGGCTAGATCTCCAAAATATGCTAATTAAAAGAAGCCAAACACAAAATTACATGCAATGTGAGTACATTATATAAAGTTCAAGAACAGACAAGGTTGACCCATGTTGGTAAAAGTCTGGAGAGTGGTTCCCTTAGGGGAGGGGCAGTGAGAACTTGTAAGGAGATGGAAATGTGCCATATCTTTATCTAGATGGTGGTCACGTATGTGTAGATGTGTAAAAGTCATTGAGCTTATTTACTCTGTGTAAATTATACCTCCATAAGTTTCTGTAAAAACCTGTGCTACAAAACTCTCTCTCCATACATGCCCTGTTCCCACCACTTCTCCTGTGATCCGAGGTCCACACCACACTTACGTGCTGAGCAAATGGCAGAGTCAGCACCTCCAGGGATATTCACTGGGTCTCTGTTAACCAGGGCGCCAGCCAGGTGGACTGTCACTCCACGTCTGCATGACAAATCTGGGAGGGAGTGAATGTGGCATTTAAAGAAAGCAGCTGAAATGCCGTGACTACACATCCTTGGAAAGTTGCCTTCAGAAAGTTACTGCTTTCCCCAAAATCACCTCTCACTAGCCTACATCCTATAAAAAGTCCTTTCTGCCTGCCTGTGTGGCTCAGTTGGTTGAGCATCATCCATGCACCAAGAGGTCACTGGTTCGATTCCCAGTCAGGGCACATGCCCAGGTTTCAGTTTTGATCCCCAGTAGGGGGCATACAGGAGGCAGCTGATCAATGTTTCTCTCTCATCATTGATGTTTCTCTCCCTCTCTCTCCTTTTCTCTCTCTAAAATTCAATAAAAACATTTTTTTAAAAAAGTCCTTTCCAACACCACATTCTGAAATACCCCTTGGTTTCTCGTGATGTGCTATTCCCTCGTGGCCACAGTCAATAAACCCAGTTTTATTCCCAACAGGTATGTCCCTCAGGGCATCGACAGAATTTTAAATCCCTACTACTGCCTGTTGTTACATATCTGTGGCTAAGTTCATTCATCTATAAAATGAGGATGATGACAATATCTTCTTTATAAGGTTGGTACAAAGATTATATATTATACTAGAGGCCTGTTGCACGAAAAGATTCGTGCAATAGGCCTTCCCTTCCCCTGGCTGCCGGCACCGGTTTTCCTCCAGCACCCGGGACCCAGGCCTTCGCTCCGGCCCGAGCCGCCTTCAAGCCTTTGCTGCTCCAGCTGGAGCCGCCTTCAGTCTTCGCTCTGCCGCTTTGCGCCTACGTATGCAAATTAACCGCCATCTTTGTTGGCGGTTACTTTGCATATCTTCGCTATGGGAGGCATAGCGAAGGTACGGTCAATTACCATGTTTGTCTATTATTAGATAGGATACTATAAGGATTGAATGATTACTATATATTACCTATAAGTTTTCAGCACATGTCAACTGCAATTATTATCATTATTAAAATTTTTATTTTAATTATTATTTCAGGAAATTTGGGGGAGACAGAGAGCTCATCTATTGTATTCAGTGCTGAATATTCAGTTCTTTTTTCTTTCTTCCTTTCTTTCTTTATGTATGCTTGTGTGTGTTTTGGGGTGGTTTTTTTGTTGTGAATATTCAGTTCTTTCACAGAGCTGGCCCAGAAATAACTGGAAAGAACATCAATAAAGAGATGGTTGAATTAGTTATATATGCCCATCCTACAGATCAAATTGCATCTACTACATAGAACAAGGTAGCTCTGGATGTACTGGCGTGTGCAGAGTGTAGTATACATCACTAATGGCAATCAGTACAAGGATACTGAGCTGCATCACTGAATTCTGCAAGTTAGTGCTATCTGTGAAGGAGGGATTTCTGCTTTCCTAGGAGGAGTCAAAAATTGGCTGGTGCTAGATCTAGGGCCAGGACAGAGAGGCCAACTCAGCACAGCAGGCAAGCCCAGCTTTGTAACATTGCAGAGAAGGTCAGGGACACTCACACCGGGTACAGGACCTTTGCTGGTGCTACACCTTCTCAAAAGGGGTAAGAGTTCCCTAAGAACAGGTTGTACGCATTGACGCAAGCTAGGTCTCCAGGGTACATTTTTGCTCTGACTTATCACTTTGATGCATAACGCACTCAAAGGAATGTCTATATGAGCTTAACATTCTTTTAAGGATCACCTTACCATGTGGATTGTCCCCCTTCTGAGAGGTAGCTTCTTTCACACAGTCCTGGAAAATAAAGGGGGGAAATGAAGTACACAGATCTAAACTTTCTTCTTTTCACAAAGTAAAGAAATGGAGACACGCGTGTATAATTCAGAATAACTTGATGATTAGGATGTGGTCAAATCAAGGCCATGGTCGTGGCCCTTCCTGGTCGTTCTAGACTTGTCCATAATGACAGTCATTCTTGAGATCCTACTGCTGCTGCTGCCTCAACAGGTTTCCCAGATGCAAGATGGGTCGCGCTCTCAAAGCAGCCCCACGAAAGCCATCTGCAAGGCATTGTTCCTGAAGCTCTAACTTCACTTCTCCACAGTTCCTATCAGTAATTCCTTTGAAAGTCTCCCAGGGTTTCTGCTATTCCTGAAGAAAATCCAGAGGCTTAAGGAAAACTTCTGGCCTCCCTCAAAAAAGAAATTAGCTCAGGAATGTCTGTGATGTGTGTTTGAGAGACAAGGCAACGCGAGAACTTTGGGAAGCAGGCTCCCCATGTCTCTCCAATGTCTCCTGCCCTCACTGGATCCCCCAGGATAGAGATGAAGCTTCTTCTCACATGAATCCAGTAAAATTTGGACGCTTCCCCATCCAAGGGGGCAAATAGAGATGAGGACAAAGGATGTCCCCTCCACCTGCCTGGTGAAGTCTTATGCTGATTCCCTAAACTTAAATTGGCATGGGATCATAAAAGAAGTTGAAAACACCCTAGCCAGTGTGCTCAGTGGGTAGAGTGTTGGCCCATACACCGAAGGGTCAAAGTTCAAGTCCCAGTCAAGGACACATACCTGGGTTGCAGGTTCACAATCCCTGGTCCAGTTGGGGTGTGTGCAGGAGGCAACTAATTGATGTCTCTCTCACATTGATGTTCTCTTTCTCTCTCTCTCTCCCCCACTCCACCCTTCCTCTCTCTAAAAATCAATGGAAAAGATATTCTCGGGTGAGGATTAACCAAAAAAAAGAAGGTGAAAACAATGACATACAATCTTGATGAATCTGCTATCCCTAGAAGCTTCCTGTACTTTATTTTAACCTTGTCTTTGTTAAGTCTCCATGCCCGCCAACTTTCCTGCTTCCTCACCTGGCCTTACCCAAAACCATTGATACCATCCATCATCTCTCCCTGGGTCCTCTCATTTCTCTCTGGTTATCAGACTTTTTCCACCTTCCACAGCCCAGCTCAAATTCTTTCATGTTTATTTATTTTAATCCAAAGGATTGTTACCATGCAAATGTGTATGATCTAAAATTTAATAATTTTTCCATCTCCAATCCACCAGAAAAGTAAGTTGTTAACTTGTATACCCTTCTATGTTTTCCTATCTTTACACAAATACATGCAAGCATATATGAACACATAGAGAGACTTATTAGGCTTTTTTTGTTCTGCAATCAGCTTAATAATATGTCTGCACATCTACACAAGTAGATGCAATTAGTTCCATATGCAACCATTTAAACTAATGCAATCCTTCCTTTATTGATAGACCTACAGGCTATTTCTGGTTTTACTATTTCAAAATATTCCTTGATAAAGGTCCTTGTCCATACACCTTCATATGTTTTTATGTCTTGGTGCTAGAGTCCTAAAAGTGAGAATCTTTGCTCCATCTCTGGGTTATTAAATCCTTTTTTAAAATATATTTTATTGATTTTAGAGAGAGGAAGGGAGAGGGATAGAGAGACAGAAACATCAATGAGAAAGAAACATCGATTGGCTGCCTCCTGCACACCCCCTACTGGGGATCGAGCCCGCAACCCAGGCATGTGCCCTGACTGAGAATCCAACCAGTGACCTCCTGGTTCATGCGTCTACGTTCAACCACTGAGCAACGCCGACTGGGCTGGATTATTAAATCCTTAATGTCTCCATAATTTATTTGGACCTCATACACTTTTCTAATAATAATAACAATCATAATAATATCAGCTTATAATTATTGAACATTTACCCAGTTTCAAGTATTTGCAAATTACTTTGTAAGCATTTCATTTACTCCTCACAGCAGTCCCTGAAGATACATATTATTCAGAACTCTTGAGCCTCAGGGTTCTCATCTGTAGAACACCTGTGCATAGAGTTGCTGTGAAGACTAAATCAGTTCATGTATGCGTCTGGAATTTAGTAGGTGCTCAATAAGTACTGACTTCTCTCCCATGGCCATCAGCTCTAAGAAGATCCTCTCGAACCCAACGGCCCCCATGCTGAATTTTTGTTTGCTTTACCTTCTCCGGCACCTACATTTATAGAATTCTCTATACCAACATTCGCTTAGTTACACTGAATCAATGATTACTTTGTTTCTTATGCATAAGTCACTCCAGTTGAAGTATAAGCTCCTCAGAGGCAAAAGCTTGCCTTCCTTAGTTCCGAATACATTCTTCATTCAGGTTTAATAAGTAAATAAAATGTCACTCTGGCTGTTGTGTGTCAAATGGGTGGGGGTATAAGGCCCAAGAATGAATGAGGGGAAAGTTGCTAGTAGATTATCTGTAAAATGGTACAGGCAAGAGAAGAGGCTGTCTCGTACCCGATGGTGGTTGTGGAGGTGGAGAGAAGCAGGTGGGTGCCAGGTGCATGATCACAGACTTGAGGATTTCTTGGGCAGCAGGTGCCAGCTGTGGTATCAAAGCTGACTCCTGGGTTTGGGTTTGAAGAGCGTAGTAAGCAGCACAACCATTTACCAAGTTGAGAGGTAAACAGAAATCTTACAGATTTAAGAGGGAAAACTGAAAGTTTGGACATGTTAAGTCTGGGGTCCTATAAGAGAGCCCAGTGGAGATGTCAAGTAGCAATTGGATAAAGGAGGCAGAACTCAGAGGAGAGACCTGGGCTAGGGCTACTAATTTGGAAACTGTTAGAAAGAGATGGAGCTCAAAGCCGTAAAATGTGGGATCACCCAAGGGAGCGTGTAGAGAATTGAGGACAGGCTAGAACCAAGCCCTGTAGACGCCAACTTTTAGAGCTCATTCGAGGAGGACTCAGCAATCCCCAGAGTGGCCAGAAAGGATGGGGCGGGGGGAGAGAGAAGGATAGTTTTATTGAAGCCAAGGGGGTCTAATGAGTCATTTGTGTCCAAAGTCATTTGTGAAGGGTAAAGTCAGGCAAGGACTTAATTTACCAATAAATTTACCAATAAAGTCCAAAGGTTAATATCCAAAGTAACATACCATCTGGTGCCTTATCTTTCCAGATTATGAATAAAGTAGAGGCTCAGTGCACAAAAATTTGTGCACTCGAGGGGGTCCCTCAGCCTAGCCTGTGCCTTCTCGCAGTCTGGGACCCCTCGGGGGATGTCTACCTGCTGGCTTAGGCCCACTCCCTGGGGGGATCGGGCCTAAGCTGGCAGTCAGACATCCCTCTGGCAGCCCGGGAGCCCTTGGGGGATGTCCACTTGCCAGCGGGGAGCAGGCCTAAGCTGCAGTAGGACATCCTTAGCGCTGCTGAGAAGGCAGGAGAGGCTCCCATCACCACCGCTGTACTGGCAGCCATCAGCCTGACTTGTGACTGAGCAGAGCTGCCCCTGTGGGAGCGCACTGACCACCAGAGGTCAGCTCCTGCATTGAGCGTCTGCCCCTTGGTGGTCAGTGTGTGTCATAGTGACCAGTCATTCCCAGTGGTTCTGCTGTTAGGGTCAGTTTGCATATTACCCTTTTACTATATAGGATAGAGGCCTGGTGCATGTGTGGGGGCCGGCTGGTTTGCCCTGAAGGGTGTCCCGGATCAGGGTGGGGGTCCTGCTGGGGTGCCTGGCCAGCCTGGGTGAGGGGCTGATGGCCATTTTCAGGCTGGCCACACACACCCCCCGGCAACCCAAGCTCCCAGCCTCTCCTTTTTTTCTTTTTTCTTTTTTTTTTTCAGCACCTCCTTGAGCGGAGGCCAGGGCGGGCTGGAACCAGGTATCTGGGATTTATTTATCTTCTATAATTGAAACTTTGTAGCCTTGAGTGGAGCCCAGGGCTGGCCAAGGCAGGCAGGAAGCTTGGCTTCCTCCATCGCCAGGGGCAACCCAAGCCTCCTGCTCACTCCAGCTCCGTGGCCACTGCCATCTTAGTTGGGTTAATTTGCATACTCTCTCCTGATTGCCTGGTAGGTGTAGCGGAGTGGCAGAGTGACGGAGTGATGGTGAATTTGCATGTTTCTCTTTTATTAGTGTAGATATCCCCTTAAACAAGGCCTATGAACCTTTTCAGATGTCTCTGCCCATCTTCATCCCACTCTCTCTAACAACACAGAGATCCTTGGAGGTCTTAATGAGAATTCTCACCTGGAATCCATTGCCTTCATTGTTGAAATTCACGGGGTAGGGTTCTCCATTCTCATCCACCAAAAGCTTGACCATGCGGAGGAGCTCTGCCACCTGGCTGTCCCGCTCAGCCTCACCTGCCTTGTTGTTGAACACGCAGTAGCGGCGTCCACAGTTTTCAACCAACCCTCCAAGCAACGTGTCGTGTAGAAGGTAATCTTTCATGGAGTCGTTACCCAAATCGTCCTTCCGAGTGAAGACGATAATGATGTACCTCCTGGCTTCCGCTCCAAACACCTTCAGGATGCCCTCGACTGTCTCCTTGTCCTCCACGTTACAGTAGCCGATGGGGATCACCAGAAGCAGGACATGCAGGCTGGGGGCAGAAAGCTTCAAGCAGTGTTCAATGTTTCGTTGCTTGTCTTTGGCACAAGCCGTTGAGGAGAAAAGGTTGGGGGTGTCGATGACCACAACCTCCTCGCCTCTCACGGTCCCACTCTCTCTCTGGCACGTTTCAGTCACCATCTTCCCACTGAATCTGGACAGGAACACCTTTTTGCCCAGAATAGTGTTTCCTGTGGCACTTTTCCCTGCCCCATGCTTCCCCACGAGAAGCAGCCTCAGTGGCCCCGGGGAGCAGCCCTGCTCCGCAGCATCCTCCTGGCACAGGCTCCTGCTGGTCCTGTTGGAACAAAGAGCAACACATCGAGGTTCAACTCACATGCAGAGTTAACAGAGGAGCAGCAAGAAAATGTGTTCTCTCTTATTGTTTAAGATTTTTACTGACTTTTAGACAGAGAGAAAGGGAGAGGGAGAGAGAGAAAAACACTGATGTGAAAGGGAAACATCGATCAGATGCCTCCTACATGCCCCCAATTGGGTATCGTGTCTGCAACCCGGGCATGTGCCCTGACTGGGAACTGAACCGGTGCCCAACCAACTGAGCCACACCAGCCACAGCAGTGTGTTCTCTTTGACTCAAATCTTCCCCCTGAGGATTTAGGCTACTGGAGTGCTAGACTCAGACTAGACTGGAACAAGGAATCATGGTTACTAGGACCTTCTCTGCACGCTTGTTTGTGAAATAAATCCATGTTGATAAAATGTCAAACACTGTAGATGGGCTAAACTGACAAGCCCTTCTTTACACACATTACCCACCTACATGCTGGAAGAAACTAGACACTGTCTGTGACAGAGAGAATAATGCCTCTCCCCTCCCCCCTCCCCACCCCATGTGTTCATGCACTAATCCCGGAATCTATGACTTCATTACCTTTAGTGGTAAAGGGGACTCTGCCAATGTAATGGGATCTTCAGGTGGAGATGGTAGGGGCGGAAATAGAATATTGGGAATTAGCTATGATTATAAGAAATATTAACCATGCTCTGTTAATCGTGATCGTTCTGTTCTGATTAGAGGAAGCACATTCTAATCCTGCTGAGAGTTGCACACCTGGGACATGGGAGTTAACATCAGAATGCAGTCCACCCTCCTTTTCAGAGAATTGCCTAGATTAACAACCTTGCTGCTAAGACAATCTGGTCCTGGAGGCACCCACCCTCTGCAACACCCCACCCCCAGCCCACATTCCCTGTAACCTGTAACCATTATGTGTTGCCTGCTTTCCCATGCCTGTAATTCCTACTTTCCTATGTAATCTTTGTCCTTCTACCCAGTATAAGCAGCTGGCCTATGGGGAGGAGTAGAGCAGATTTTTGTGGATGACCTGCTGCTCTCCCATACTGCCAGCATTATTGGAATAACTGCTCATACATGATTCAACCCTGTCTCTGCTTAATTGGCAGCCTGGACCTATCACTGGTTGCCTGGTTACAGAGAGAGAATCTTGGATCATCCAGGTGGGCCCAGAGTAAGCACATTATAAGTGGTCCTTATAAGAAGGAGGCAGGAGAGTCAGAGTGAGAAAAAGATGTGAAAACAGAGCTGGGGAAGATCAGAGAGTGAGATCTGAAAATGCTACCCTGCTGGCTTTGATGGCGAAAGCCGACTCTACAAGCTGGGAAAGGCCAGGAAACAGATTCTCCCTTAGAGGCCCCAGAAGGATCACAGTCCTGCTCAACGCCTTGATTTTAAGACGTCCAACCCCCAGAACTCTAAAATAATAAGTTTGTGGGGGTTTTAGTGACTAAGTTTGTGGCAATGTGTTACAGCAGCAACAAGAAACTAATACACTCAGTCTCTCAGCCAACCTTCCAAATAGGAGTGTCCATGTGACCCAGATCTAGTTGGTGACAGTTGAGGGAACATTTGCTTGGGCCTTCTGAAAAGGCTGTGTTCTTTATTACTATTATTATTATTATTATCATTATTATTATTGATTTTAGAGAGAGAAACATTGATTTTGTTGTTCCACTTATTTATGTATTCCTTGGTTGCTTCTTGTATGTATCCTGACGGGAGACCAAACCCACAACCTTGGTGTATAGAGACTGTGCTCTCACCAACAGAGCTACCCAGCCAGGACTGAAAATGCTATTGTTTTCTTGATGACAGGGGTAGACTCAAAGCAGAGAAGCTCCTATTATCACTCTCCCACCCTCCC